AGCTCCGACAAACACTCGAGAAGCTCGACACCGTCCCAGGGACAGAGCAGCCCCCCACCCCGATTGGCACCACATCCACAAACATCCCGCTCCCCCTCCGCCGCTCAGGCACAGTCGCAGCAGTGTGTACCATCTACAAGATGCCCTGCAGAAACTCACCAAACACCCTCAGGCAGCACCTTCCAAACCCCATGACCCACTTCCATCCAGAAGGACAAGGGGCAGCAGGTACATGGGAACACCCAGCCCCCTCCCTGCAAGTTCCCCCCACTCCCCATCCCGACTCGGAAATATATCCCCCGTTCCCTCGGTGCGACTGGGTCGCAATCCTGGAATTCCCTCCCTAAGGGTCAACCCACAGCACACAGACAAGGCTTACCGCCCACCACCGCCCCCCACCCCCACCTTCTCAAGGGACAGTTCCTGGGGCATTTCCATGAATGAATGAAGAATCGCATTTTAATGCCAATGGCTGAGGATGCAGCGAATAGCGAGAAATTAATAATCTTAGCTACATGCAAACGCCAGACCGAAAAATTGGCAAACTGTCAATGCTATTGACCAGACCCCTCTTTAAGTCTTACGCTCGTTCACCACGTACTTAACATCTTTCCAGTTCCACTCTAATATTAAACGTGCCTAAAAATCGCATGAACTATGGATGACATTCTCTTCCATATGGAGGGAGACGGAGAATCCTTCAGCAGCCGAAATTTCTGAAAACACAACTCTTTCCAAAGGGAGAAAGAAAGCAGCAAACTTCTAATACTTTTTGGTTTTCTTTCTCCATCCTCCAACCCGTCCTGGATCTTTCATCGACTTCGGAGCAGGTTCATAAAACTGTTCCTGTGACCCTAGCGTTAAATCTTTAGTGCAACAGACAGCAGTGTGAACAGAAGTGTAAGCTTGTGCACTTTGGCAGAACAAACACAGGGAGACGATACAGGCCACAGCAGCTTTAGCCTCTCGGAAATTTGTTATCGAAACGAGCTTCTATCACCCAGCCGAGAACTTTCACGGTTAACGCAGTGTTTCATAACCGCGCCTAGAATTTATTAGCGTGGGGTCCGCTCGAGAATTTAAAATCCACGAGGGATTTCGTTTTTCCCGCCCCTCCCTGCGCTGTATTGCTGCCAGAGCTTTATCATCCAGCCTGGAACATAAGAACATCGGAAACAGGGGCAGGCCACTCGGCCCCTCTCGAGCCCGCTCCGCCAGACCGCGGCTGGTCATTTTGCGGACTCAACTCCACTTACCCACCCCACCCCCTCGCCATTAACCCTTAATTCCTTCGCTGTTCGCAAAACCTATCTTAACATTCCACAGGGGAACCTCAGCTGGGAATTCCACAGATTCACAAGAGCCTTTGGGTTTTGAAGGGGTTCCTCCTCAGCTCGGTCCTACATCTGCTCTCCCCACTCCCCCAACCCACAACTTTATTTTGAGACTGTAACCACCCCCCCAGTTCTAGTTTGACCTGCCCGTGGGAACAACCTCCCTGTTTCTGTCTTACCTATTCCATTCTGTATATGTTTCTCAACCCCCAACTCCCTCATTTATCTAAATTCCAATGAAAATAATCCCAGTCTGCTCCTCATAAACCAAACCTCTCAGCTCCTGGAGTCAACCCAGCGAACCTCCTCTCCACCCATCCCCTCAGCTCCCCCCAGCGCCAGGACATCCTTTCTCAAGGAGCGAGACCCTAAACTGTGCACGGTATTCTAGATGTCTGGCCTCACCAGCTCCCTGCAGCGTAACCTGCCTGTTTTCTTTTTCGTTTTTGAAAACTGCATTCCTCCAGCGCCGAAGGGCAATGCGCCCATGCGACGACCCGCTGCACCTGCCAACCAACTTTCTGCGGTTCGTTCACGAGGGCGGCCAGGCCGCGGGCCTAGGCCTCATGCCCGGAACATCTGGGTGACCAGAGCACCCACGTCAGGCTCCTTCTCGAATCCAGCTCCGCCTTCAACGCCAAACACGCTCCTCTCCAAACTCCAGCAGCTGGCATTTCCGTTCCACCCAGGGGGCTCTGTCGGCGCTTCCCGCCCGCATCCCGAAACGAAAATCCAAAAGATCCGCCGCGAATCGGGAAGGAAGACAGAAGTTGCCGGGAAAGCAGAGCAGAAGGAACAAAATAAAACAGAAAGCAGACTTAACGTTTCAGCTCCTTTCCTCAGAACCCAAAACGTGAACCCTGCTATTTCTTTCTCTGGCAGATGCTGCCAGACCCGCTGAGCTTTTCCAGCAACTTCTGTTCTCGTTGCTAACATCACCAAAGACCCCTCACCACCCCCCCACCCCTGGGTTATAATCTCTTCCACCCTCTTCCATCAGGCAGAAGATACAGAAGCCAGAACACACAGACCAACGGAGGGTCTAGGCCCGAAACGTCAGCCTTCCTGCCCCTCTGATGCTGCTTGGCCTGCTGTGTTCATCCAGCTCTACACCTTGTTATCTCAGATTCTCCAGCATCGGCAGTTCCTACTATCTCAGACTCAAGAACCGCGCTGTTACCAGACTTTTAAACAGACTTCTCGAATGTTAATTCCAATCTCTCTTTCTCTGCAGCTGCAGTCTGCACCTTATACTGCTTCCCTGACGCATTCTGTATGGCCCAATTTGCCTGTAGGGCACACAAAACAACTCTTTTCACTGTATCTCAGTACATATGACCACAGGAAGCTAGTCAATCCGTCCTCAATGCTGCAACTTTAAAGGCAGTACAGGAGCTTGGTGGGGGGGGAAGATCAGGTACATAGTTCCTGGAAAGTGGGGGTCGCAGGTAGACAGAGGAAAGTGTTTGGGACACTTAGTCAGAGCGTAGGAGTTGGGGAGGGTCATGTTGCGGCTGTATTGGTGAGGTTACTTTGGGAATATCGCGTTCAAACCAGGTCTCCCTGCTACAGGAAGGATGTTGGGAAAGGGGTTCGGAAAAGGGAAGTGGAAGGGTTTGAGCTACAGAGAGAGAGGCTGGGGGGCTGTTTTCCCTGGAGCATCAGAGGGGGTGACCTTATAGAGGTTTATAAAACCATGAGGGACATGGATAGGGTGAATAGCTTTTCTCCAGGGTTGGGTTGGGGGGGTGGCCTCAGCCACCCAGGAACAGGCCTCTCCCACCAGGAACAGGCCTCAGCCACCCAGACCAGGCCTCCCCACCCAGGAACA